AAAAACTGCAAAATAATCATTTATTTTTCATTTATTATACCCGTTACTCTTGGAGTAAAAGGGTATATCGTATTCCTTGAAAAGTTTTTAACAGCTGGAAGGAAGAGTTTCCGACCATGTAAAGTATACATATTCAGGATCAATAGTCGAGTCGGTCTAGCCACGTCCGTCCGTCTGTCTGTCCGTCCGTCCGTTTGTCCGTCTGTATGAACGTCGAGATCTCGAAAACTATAAAACCTAGAGATTTAGAACTTGGCATGAAAATTCTAGTAGTTCCTAAACAGTGCAAGTTTATTTTCCGCGCGAAATTATGACGATTTAAAACGGCGGAATTATGTTGTTTTAAAGTGGCATAAGTTCGCGGACCAAATTTACTGGGCGGAATTATGTCTGTGTTCATGGAAATTGCAGTGAAGATGTTCTCACTTTCAACATAGATTATTCTTTATCTAAGGACCTTTATGGAATAGGATTTTTTTTATAAACAATTAGTGTATTTATTTTCATATAACTTAGGAAAATTTGTTATACCCTTGCAGAGAGTATTATAATTTCAGTCAGAAGTTTGCAACGCAGTGAAGGAGACATCTCCGACCCTATAAAGTATATATATTCTTGATCAGCATCACTAGGCGAGTCGATCTAGCCATGTCCGTCTGTCCGTCCGTCTGTCCTTCCGTTTCTACGCAAACTAGTCTCTCAGTTTTAAAGCTATCTGCATGAAACTTTCCCAAAAGTTGTCTTTCTATTGCAGGTAGTAAATAAGTCGGAACGAGCCGGATCGGACGACTATAGCATATAGCTCCCATAGGAACAATCGAAAAAAAAAATAAAAAAAAAATTATAACTTTACTGTTTTTTAATTTTTTTTTAGTTCTTCGACATAAAGTAATTGTTAAATATTTCAGAATTACAGTTTAAATTTCAATAAAATCGGACGACTATATCATATAGCTCCCATAGGAACAATCGGAAAAAAATAAAAAAAAAATTATGTATAACTTTGCTGTTTTTAAATTTTTTTTATTAGTTCTTTGAACGCCCATAGAAAAATACTGTCTAGAACGTGTTTCACCAAAAAAGGACCAGTTTGGACTCATCTGTCCAAAAGATATTACGTCATTTTGATAGTGGCCAAATTTATTGCACTGCTATTTCTATGAACCCAGCGATACATACTTTATAGGGTCGCAGATGAATCCTACACTGCGTTGCAACTTCTGACTGAAATTATAATACCCTCTGCATGGCTAAAAAAAATCTACGAAGTTCAAGTCGAACCCGGACCTATACTTGCACATTTACAATTTTCAATTTTTCACTGTTACCCAGATAACTGTGATTCGACCGATCACAGCTTTATAACTAGAATAAAATTACTACCACAACATAAGCACAAGCTTGCTCCTCTCCACATTGTGAAATTTTAGCCTTCTACAGTTTGCGCTTGAATGGTACCATGCACCTATTTGGTTGCCTTGCCGAGCAGCAGCCAAAGTACAAATGATTATGTTTATACTATTAAAGTAATTTACTAAAAAATGACGCCCCGCCAAAACAAGATAATCCGCAATGTACTTTTTCTCTCTCCCCTATCAAGAGCTGATCGTCAAAGTCAACCGCTTTAGCTGGGGGTTAAGTAGCTTGCTGTCTACTTAAGCATAATCAAAGCATGGCAAAGCGAATAGACGATCAAACGCCGATTTCGATCTTTCCTGGTTGCCGATCGCTAAATTTATCACAACATTTTACAAAAAAGCTGGATAAGTATGCTGCTGAGCGGGGCAGGCATGCCCAGATTGGTTTCCATTCGCTGGCTACGTTGGTAGCCAAGGTGCGAGATCTACAAATAATATGGCCAACGGAGCTGTATCTACCCTTAGTCCCCTGGCTGGAGGCTGCTAGGCCAAAGTGGAGGCCATGTGTGTTGGCTTTGAGGTTGGCGATCGTTAACTCAATTCCTCTCCTCCGCGGCCTGTTGTGTACAGTTTTATTAACCCCTGCCGCTGATTTGGTGATAACGATCGTAATTTTACTGGTACTCTGGGTGCAACACATGTTGCACTTTCCAAGACTCTCGTCCACGCTATATTATTTTCCCTACTTTAGAAAATTCTTTTTCCACTTTAATCAGTATGTTGCAATTTTTGCTGTTGATCGTTCGCTCTCCTTACATTTTCGAGTCTGCGTCTACAGTCCCTGTACGAAGCGGAGTTGCAACATAGTCAGATTAAATGTGTGTTATCTTATATATACCGTGATTCAAAGTGTATACGCCTTTATTGCATTGCAAGAATTTCAGTTGGTTTTTCGAAGAGCATTTACAAATTCCAACAAGTTCTGCTTTTTCTTAGACTTTTGGTTTTGTTTTATAAATGCTTCTCGAGCAAAAAAGCTGTTTTTTTTTAATACGTTTACCTTACAGAGTTACTGTTTATTAAATCCATACTCATAAATATGCATGGGCCACAGCGTAGAAAACAAAAATGGGGTCTTCTAATTACGCCAAAGAAAGGGGTTCATTCTGTTCAAGTAAAGTTAGGCAATAGGCTATACATACACATTTGCTGAAATACACACAATTCAGTTTCATCAGCTGACAAAAAAAATTAAGTATCATAAATATGCATAAAGAACTCTATGTAGTAATCGTGTGTATATATTAAGGTTTAGGTATATAATAAAAATTATTCTTCTTTTCGGAATTTACCCCTCTGGAGAAAGTTGCAGCTGAAAGCTGTTTGCATAGTTGCCGTGTCTAAGCAAATACGAAACCTATATAATGAGTCGCGCAGCAAAAACGGAAAAAGGTTTACAATTAAGAAAGAGAAAATGTTGTCTGTCTGGCTTCATTGGATAGCGTTTTCATGTATTTGACTTTGCGGTTCATTGATTAAAATCAAACTGTTTAATAAGGGTGGAAAAATGCCCCTGCTTAAGGGCAAATATAAAGCATAGCGATCAGGAATTCTGCCAGTCTTTGTTAATTATGTTTTTTGGTTCTCTCATGGATTGGCATCCTCTTTAAGGCATAAACACGAGTATCTACTTATTTGTGCCTACCTTTAAATGGTGGTGTTTATGTTTCATAACTGTCGTCATGATTGCGCACAACGTTTACAATCGCAACGTTCTATTTATTCGTTCTGCCGAAGTTCCTCTGGGTTCAGTATTAAAATGATTTTAATTTTAGATTAGTTAAATGCAAAAAAATAACAAAGTCCTTGCCCTTTTCCCATCACACACACATCACAATCATAGTATTCACAAGAATGTCAATATGGCTTATTATTTCGCTTGCATGGCTCTGGTTACTTAATTTAAAAGACACCCAACGATTATTGGTTTGAAATTGCTTAGGACACGCGAAACGATTTTGCAGTTTTTCTGCGAATATTTTGCATATTTACACGGTTGAGTAAATAGGTAGGCGTTGATCCAGAAAAAAACGGTTTTTATCGTTTAGTTTCATGTAACATTAAGTCCTGCATTGAATGGAGGAATGGCAGCACCTTGCACCCTTGAAGGATTAGTCATTTACAAAGTTAACCGAACAGCCACTTAGCAACTATTCGGTATCATGTGTCTGTTTTCAGCAAGCCCTACAGTAAATATCAAAGTTTTCTCAAAGACGCATGTCCATTAATCTCTTACCCACCAAAACTTACCACCACTTCAATTGCCAAGTCACATGCAATTTTAGGCTGCTTTTTTCTACTTTTGGAGATGCTGAGGCAAGGGCTATTGCTGATGTGAAGGAGTCAGTGTGAGAAACTCACCCAAATCCATTACCGTTTTATACTGTCTCACCTTTCAAGATGCGATTTGCATAGCGTTTAGGTTGCCAAGTCGGCATCGCATATTAATGTATTTAAGTCGTAAGCGTGCGCTTTTCTTTCATGCCTTGTTCGGTTTCACATCTCTTATCCAAGCCATTTGTGCTGCTGTAGTCCTCAGTAGCTGTCGGTACATTGCTATTCCTTGCGATTCTCAGGTGTACACGAAAATCTTTTTTGTGCGCAACAAGTTTCTGGACAAAATTCTTGCCTGATAAATGATATTGCAAACAGTTCTTGACTCGATATGCATAGAGTCGAGGTTGCTGGTCATTAATAATTGCTGTTGGACGGTAGTTACGATGACCAGCAGCTCGGGATACTTGACATTGCATAGTTATTTAATCTTTTGTTTGTGCGAGCACAAAACCTAAAAATATCAGGAGAAGAATCTTGTGGATATTTTTGACTTACAGGTTCTGATATTAATACCCATATATGGTATCCAGAAACCTCACAAAGAACAGAGCACAGATAAGCGATCTTTAAAACAATGCAAAGCTTCCACAAGTTGCCACTTAAAGAGGGCTGATGATGGATTGTTCGTACGTGTTTTGAGACTGGTTTCAAGGATATAGAATAGGACAAGCAGCAGCAAAAGCACACGAGACTCATTAATCCTGGTGGCAAACGGGTGACCGGGACCTTCGGCTGACTTGCCACGACTCATTTGTGCTCAAAACTTTGCAGCTTGATAAATTGCCAGCCACACAAGCAGCACAAGCATACATTCTCGCTTCTCTTACCATTTTGCTTGAGGCCAAATCCCTAACCATGTTAAGTGAGGTTGTAATGTTATTTTGCCTTCACCTTTTTCGATAGATAAACACTTACGTTTTTGCCAGAGATTTAAATACTCTCCCTTGGTGCCACCATATATTTACCAGCCATTCAATCATATTTATCTGCCAAAAACCTGAAGAGCTATTTTTTAAGCTTTTTTCGCAGCCCTTTAGCGTTTTGATATACAAATACTATACACAGGCTTTCTCAATTTTTCTCATTTGATGCGTTTGTTCTTTGCATTGTTTAGGGTCTGCTATCGTCACGTTATGCCAAATATATTGCTAGGTTTGTTTTGTGCGATTGTCACGTTTTTGTTTTGATTACTTAATGAGATAAATGAAAAGTAATAAAGGCTGAAGTAAAAAAAACTTGTCTGCGCATATTGAAATGAATTGTATTCTTTAAAAATATAAACTCAAAAGCTTTAAGAAAGCTGTTATTATTAATTGTACAGTAAGCTTGAGTCGCTGTTATTATCCTCATTGCTTGTACAATCAAGAGATCGGTTGTCTTCCGAGTCCGTGTCACCCAAAACTGCTGAGCCTGATAAAGAAAGGGATGATCTACCGGAATTTTCAGCCGAGCTTGGTAAGAGCACATCAGAATATTCTTCAGTGTCCGAACCCGATTCTCCATTGCAGCCGGTTACATGATCCTCGTCGTAAGATTCACTAGTATAGGCCTCTTCACTGTCCCCTTTTGACGCACCAGAGTTTAAAGGCGGCTCACCAGTATTAAAGCTTGAAATTCTTTTACTTTCATTTGATCGACATCCCTGTGTATGTGATTTATACATACCCGTGCTTTGATCTGGAAACATTTAAAGACTCACCAAAAGAAAATTTCGGCTTCGACCCAAGGTCTGGGCGACATGCAGCTCCCTCATCAGTGCGTTTCTCTCCATCGAGTGATACTCGCGTTGAAGATGGCACTCCGACTGCAGCTCTCGGTTCTCCTTGCGCAAGTGAAACATTTCGCTCAAGATCTGGTGCTGTTTCTCAACTACAGTGGTCACCAGCTGTTCAAGATTCTGAATGGTTATCTCGCATTCCAGTAGCTTCTTCTTAAGAAGCCAGTTCTGTGAACGACAATCGGCAAGATCTGAGGTTGACAGAGCGTTATCGGGAGCATTTGTCTCTAATGATTCTTTACTAGCACTTAAGAAAACAAGTTGTAGCCAATTGAGGTGGTAATCAAAAGATCGCTCACTTGTCTTTCGGGCTTTCGCGTACTGAGAAGTCATTAATAGTAGGCATTGGAACCGTCTCAAGGTTCCTGGGTATATCCTGACTGGGTGTATAAAATTGGCAAATACACGACATTGTTCGGCAAGTTTTGGAATCCTTAACATAATCGATTGCACATGATTATCTATACGGAGGTGACTAGATGTTATTTATTCCTTTTGAAACACCTGAATTCACATATATGTAAATTCCTTTTTTCTGACATTTTACTATACCACCCTGATCTAATCTGAGTTTCTCTTAACTCTGATACCATTCCTATTAAGTTAAGACTGCACGGACAGCTAAGGGTGTAAAGAAACCCCACATCCTCGCAAGTATTTCACTTTACAGTCTGAGCCCCATCACCCTGCCGGCCATTGCACACTTTACGACTTGACATTTTCACACTTTGTTGGCAACGCTTTGGATGCTTCCTAGACACTCCCTCCTGTGAAACTGGGCAACTGACTTTTAGGTCGTCCCAGCGTTGATGCAAGCTGCACTGTCACTCGCCTGTCCTGCGATCCGGGATGTGCAAATGTGTGGCTTCAGCTGCGAAGGAACTGGGGATGTCTCACACTTCTGTCTGTTTTTTGTGTGCGTCGGTGGATTGAAGTGCAAAATTGGTTTAAGTGTTTGCTAAATTGGCAGCAAAATGGCTTTTTCAATTTATACAATTTTATGTGCGGGTCCGTAGACGGCGGAAGCTGTTCAAAAAGTTTAACCGAAAAACTAAATATTTTTTTCCCTCATCTGTTTTGGCAACGAGTACTGCCTAGCTTGGTAATTGATATTTCGATTGTTGACTTTGGGGGGATGTGCGGAGCCTCTGTCTGGTCACTAGTACACACCTCTAAAAAAAAGTGGCTTCAGACCTGAACTCATACCAATCCCACCGGCCATTTCACACGCTTACTATCGGTGCTAAATGGTCTACAGTGGAGATAATCATGGTTTACACCCAAGCAACTATTGCAAAACACATATAAGAATGCTCGTATCTTACGGTTTATTTGCACCGACTTCAGGTCGGCGAAAACCCAGTTGTTTAAGCCGCATAGTAATCGTGATACCTAAACAACTCCAAATTACATACCAGAGGGCGCTACGCATACCATGTTAACATAAATTTTATAGGCCTTCTCAGTTAAGGTGCACCTCGCGAATAATTCCGCCTTTGTAGCATGGCCAACCTCCTCGCTCAACTTTAAACTAGACAACACATGCAAGCGCACATTTAAAAAGGCATAAGTCATACGTGGCTAATAAATTGATTTGCTTAAGTGGATTAAAGTTCATTGCTATGACATATACAGGATGCTCGAACTCTGGTCGCGAAAAATGAACTTCGAGTTGCTTGTGTCTTGGAGAAAAGGCAGCTTGGCCTTAATGGAGCCCCCTGTACGTTCAAAGCAAAACCACCTATTTTTAACTCAAACTATGTTACTATTTGGAGGAAAAGTCTTCTGCCCACGGAGGAAGGAATAAAATTATCGTAGCCGAAAACATTCAGTGGACTCCTTGCAGGCTTAGTCGCACATCGTACTGAGACGACGATGGCTATGAAAACCAGAAAAAAGAAACTCTTAAAATGCCAGTTTGAAGTCTATTATTTGCTGGACACGAGCATATATTGATTGCATCGCAGTTGCCTTGGTCAGGCACAAGATTCGGGAAAGCAAATTGCTTCAACAAATACTAGTACTCCCGAAACGGAGAGCGCGAGGGAGCTGGAGATGGGGATGATGATGTTGGTGGGGTGGCAAGAGGTGGATAGAATCACATGGTAATCGGTGCACTGTGAAACCAAAAGCAGAAACGTAAAAGCAATCGAAGCCAAGTTTTGGGAATAGGTGTTCAAAACCCGTTTGCAGGCGCAACGTGCAGATCCGTTGTGAGACTCTTCGGTGTTTTGGTGGCTTCGTGTACTGCAGCATTTAGCGTCTTGATCGGTTTATCACCGATTAATTAGAGTTTGATAAATACGCGCACGCCGTGAGTATATAAATCATAGCAGCAGAGGAAGTGCGCTGCAATTATTTAGCCCAACAACCAGAGGACCTAGCCCCAAAAATACAACTCGTGGAAAATTTGCATATCCCTTCACCCACTCTCATGAAAAAAGTAGCAGTCAAATTGTAAAGGTAAACATGGTTTATTTTTGCACGTTTTGCTTTCTGATTTTTCGCCGCATTTAGCATTTTGTTTTGTTTTGGGCTGTCGCTGCTTTTGACGTTGCCACACAAGCAGAATATTTTGAAAGGCAAGTGCACGGTGGCAGGAGGTGGTTAGGGTGTTTTGCAAAAGTGCAAAAAAATATCTTTGAACATTTTTCTGTCTGAGAATTAATTATGAAAAAACGTCCTTTGAGATGCGCTTGACGGCCACGATGAGATGGCAACAGCGGTGCTGATGAACAGGAGTTTTATGAATGCTAATTTGAGGTTATTTTTTGGGTTTGAATTAGGAATAGGGTTGCTTAGGAGGGAGAAGGCTTCTTTGACCCCAAGGTGCTTCTGATTCTGATCGTGGGCCTGCAGGTAGCTTATGGGAGTGCCATATTTGCTGGGAAGAAGTTACTAACTGGATACCTGAATTTCTTATACTCATTATACAAACTGACGAAAGTTTTAACTTTTTAGAAAGAGCCTTTATAAAAGATGTTTAAAAATGTACTCTTTATTTATTTCACTTATCAAGAATCCCTAAATCCTTGAGTTCGGGAAATGGCTGAACTTAACTGCTTATTTATATAAGTTGAGTGCTCACTTTAGTTTGCCTTTCACTGCCACATTTACGAGAGTATGCCACGAAGAATGTCTTATGGTTTATTACCGCAAGAGAGCTCCAACTGCTAAGCAGAATGCAACATAAACTAGTATGGAGGTTATTATTATTCGAAGACTACTCGGCACCATGATTGCTACCTTTTTTTGCATTTGGATCGTATTTGCCCGGCAACGTCTTTTATTCTTGCCCATGGCAGTAGCAAAAATGTTGACCACTTTCTGCATGGAAGAGTTTTATGTTCCACTTCAGCCTTCGACGTCCACTGCCCTCCCTTTTTTCAGTTTTTGTCGCACTGGAATTGCTCTCGAAATATCTTCGTTACGGAATGAATGACCACTCGTGACTAGTACTTTGCTCTGAACCCAAACTATTTGCGGTTTTTTCTTCACTTCCCTTTGCACAATTATCCTGATTTCAATATTACTGCGTCATAAACAAAGGCGTAGTCTGACCTCTCAGGAAAGAAGTAGGAGGAGATGCAGGATTCCAAGGATTGTTCACAAAATTATTATTATTTGCTTGCTCAGGAATTTTCAGTTGTTGCTTGTTATTTATCATAGGCAAGGAAATGGTAGTATGTCCTGTGACCGTCTTAGATTGTCTTTCTGCTTTGGTTTATTGGGTCTTTTTGAACGAAAGTGAAATTAAATATCAGGAAATTGTCTTATAAATTTATTTCTAAAGAAAACAAGAAAGCAAGCAAACTTCGGCAAGCCGAAGTTTATATAGCCTTGCAGCTATTGCAAAAATTAAATATTCTTGAAACAGTGGCGTAGATAGCTTTTTGATATGGATATGACTCAGAATAATATCCTGTTTTTTTGTAAGATTTATTTTACACTGCGATAATAATCCGCGTTGCACAGTCTTGTACAGAAATTGGTCACATTTTTCACATTGATAAGTTGCATTATAAAAAAATTCTCTTATCGCAGAAGAAATTCAAGCTTTCGAGATTTTTTTTGCTAATTCATCAATGACTTCGTCCGCTGTGATTATATGCAGCTGATGCAGCGCCGTAGCACGCAGTAAACTGAGAGGCACTGTGACTGACTGAGGTATCACTTGGAGGTCGCATGATTGGTCGGTCCGTTAGAAGCCCTGGAGTTATCATATTTTCCACGAACCCTCCTGATGAACAACAAAACGGCAGGCAGACGCCAAAACTGCGTAAATCCTGGGAAACGCAGCGACCGCTGGCAAGCTAAAAGATTCCAGGAAGAATTTGTCGATTGACAAGAAGTCAACAGTATTGAACATAACTCGGGCATTCGAAACTTTAATATGTTGTACTGCACAGTCATCGCGTAAAAATGTGTTTATTTTTCAATTTTGAGATTATATCATCTTAAAATTCACAGACCCAAGGGGGGGGATTGATCCCCCTGACTTCTGACTGAAATTATAATACCCTCTGCAAGGGTATAAAAATAGTTCGAGTTTACTTCAATACTTATCGTGTTTGACTTTCTGTGTTTCCTTTCAACGTTAAGCGTTTGGATTTTCCTTTAATTTTATGTTCTCGGATAAAGCAGACTCATACCCCTCATTAAAAAATTGGCTCAATTTGTTGAAAGTAGCGCCCTTAAGAAACGAAAAATAGCCCAGAGCAATGCGGAAGCAACTTAGCTTGTATGCCATTTTCCAAGTAATAAAATCTGTAAAAGGAAAGCCCCCCTTTGCAGGCACAGCGTGGGATTCGACTCGTAACGCACACGCGTATGGACATTTATCAAATATTCAACTGTCATTTTCGCAATCGCAAAGCGTATTTAATGCTCTTTTTTTTACATAACGCAATTGAACATTCATAAGCTCCAATGTTGGCGAAGAATTTACTAATACCCAGATCTCCATTTCCACCAAAACCCGCAAAAGTACACAACCCAATAACCCAATATTAAGGAAATTGGCTAACGGGAATTGAAATAATAAGTGGGAAGCATGTTAAGGGTGTAAGCCGCTCACACCATTCACTTGCGAATTTTCCGACCTGCGAAATTTTCCAGAACAAAGCACTCAACGGAACACGTGACAGTTGTCGCGTGTGTATGCCTGCAAAACAAGGCTTCGTTTTGCATTTTCCAGTTTTCCGCGATGTGTCAATGTGCCGAAAGTGCGTAGCAGTCGCAGTCAAGTGTGTAATTTGCGGTAACGTTTTAAGAGGGTTTGAATAGATTGCTTCATTTAAATTTGGGGGAATCAGTTGCCGGGGAAAGTCAGGAGTGTGGGTACAATGGCGTTTCATCGGATGTTAACATCCGTAATAGATGTTAATTTTTGTAAGGATATTTTTTTAATTATATCGCGCGACACATGTTTTTCAATTTGCGGACTTTAAGCTCGGAAACTCCATTCCGCTTTATAGTACAGTCTC